TTCCTTATCTGAATAGAACAATTAACGTATTTTGAGAGTGAAGCATAATTATTGTGATAAAGTGTTTTCTCTGATTAAAAACGTAGTATAAGTTTTCGATAAACAGGATTCGAACGATTTCCATGCCTTCACCCTCCTCTATTATTCATGAAAACGACTCTCAACTCCCAAGAGGGGGGGGGGGGGGGGGGTGAGGAAAAGAAAAAAAGAAGTGTACCCTTTATCTTTTGGGACTTTTAGATAAAATGTGACAACTCTTAGCTAGGTGGAGGATTGGTCTTTTATAAGAATTCCCAAAAAATTGGAAATAGTTGAGATAAGAGACGTTGACAAAGATAAACGATGGCTATAAAGATGCTATTATACCATTATTATATTATGAAAAGCACATGAAATTGACAATTCACGTTGATTGTTGCAAGAATTTCAATATATATATAGCTTTCTAGTTGCTTAGTTGTACTCTATTTTTAAAATTAAATTTAAATAAGTGATTATTCCTAACTTGTCATATAGACAAATAATCATGTACTTCTTATCATATACTACTAATTGAAAATGAACCTACCTCACTTGCTTTGTATGAATTTGGTAATAGTAGGTCCCTTTTTTTTTGTATTTCTTTAAGCTGTCTCTTAAAGAATTGGGAAATGGTTTGAGTTAAGACACATGGAGAAAAATAAATGATTGACATATATAATTCTATGTAGGCATAATACATAAACATGATCCTTAACTTGGCGTTAATGGACAACTATGATTTTTAACTTTGGGTGTGCACAAATATGCACTTAAACTCGTATAAAATTGAACAAATATACACATTCGTCCTACATGGCACCTTACATGACAATTTTTCGTCCTACGTGTATTATGCCATGTAGGACACGTGTGTCTACTTGTTAAATTTTATACAAGTTTAAGTGTTTACTTGTGCACACTCAAAGTTGGAGGACATAATTGTCCGTTGAAGTCAAGTTAAGGGTCATGTTTATGTATTATGCCTTCTATGTACGAGTCCGGAGCCAAAAGGGGAAAAAATTGCTAAGAATTTCAAAAGGGGACATCAATTTTTTTTAACCAAAAGGGCAAAATCGCTCCTGACGGAGCAATTTTCTTCTGACAAAATTGACACCGTTAATTTTATTTTTTAACATCGTTGCCCCTACAACGTTTTTCTAAAAAAAAAAAACTTTATAAAATTGAAATCGCTGCTATAGCAGCGATTTCCTTTTCCTTAAAAAAGTTAATTTTTTTTTAAAAAGAAAAATCGCTTGCAAGGCTTAAAAAATGGAGTTTCTCAGAAACCAAATAAGACAACAAAGAAATGGGGTTTCTCATAAACCAAATAATCACCATATTGTTGAGTGTACCAGCTCTTTAGGTCAACCAACAAAGGAGGAAATATGTGCTTAGGAAGGGCAACTTGGCCATTAAAGAGTGGTGCAACAATGGCGATTAACAAGAAGTAAACGAAAAGAAGCAAGTCCAATAGCTTAACAAAAGCACCCATTTTGGTCTTCGTCTCTTTGCAGCAATAGAGGCAGGCACCAAACAGTTCAGCTAATTTTTTGAGAAAAATGCTGCAGGGGCAGCTTTGTTAGTTTTTTTTTGACAAAATGCTGCCAGATTTTAAGGAATTTTTTTTTTTGGACGAAATCGCTGCCCAACAGTGATTTTTATGTTTTTTAACGGATTAACGGAGTCAATCGCTCCGTCAGGAGCGATTTTACTCTTTTGATTAAAAAAAATTGATATGTCCTTTTGAAATTTTTGACAATTTTTTTTGCCCTTTATGGCATCGGACTCTTCTATGTATAATGCTACTCCTTATTTATGGACAGAGACACCTTAGGATGGGTCTGATACACCCCCTTATAAAATTTTTATGTAATATATAAAAATAAATTATTTAATTATTATGAATGTTTATTTAATTTTGCAGGTCTTTAACACAATTAAAAAGAAAATTTGTATATCCTTGCCAAATTTTTGGCACCGGTCATTATTGTATAATTAAAAGCACATGCAATTGAAGATTCCACGTTGATTGTTGCAATCATAACGATTGCTCCCGAGTTCCGTATATAGTTCTACTTTGTAAAGTAATATATATATATATAAATCCGTCTATTTAATTATCTCATTATTTGATAACCAAACATATATCATAGCTAAAGAAATGAGTTATTTTTTCCTTTACCCCTTCCTAAGAGCTCCTACTTTTTATTGGGATGACTTAAATTTACAATTTTCAAGTTGGGAGTAAGGGGTGCTTATCATTCGAGCAACTCTCTCTCGTCAATTAAAGAAATATTCAAAAGTAAGGATAACAATATAACCTAATCCTAATTCCTAATTATATTATAAGTATGTGAAGTTACCCCACAACACTTGCTTTTTTTGATTTTTTTTTTTTAGTTCTATCTATTATCAGTATCATGCGTTGTATTTTTATTAATAATAAAATGATAATGAATAAGATATTTATACAAGGAGAAGAAGGTGGCTCCTACGAGTGTCAATGATTTTATAATGAATGAGATATTCATACAAGCTAAGGGTGGCTCTACAAGAGTCAATTATTTTAATTTTTTTCTATGGAATCGATCAAAGCAAATCAGTTTTTTGATTAAAAAATCGAAGGTCTCAATATAAAATTATAATTGTAATGAATTAAAATAATAGAATGAATTTTTTATGTTATATATATATATATATATATATATATATCAGTCTCATAGTGCTCCTCTTCGTCATCGAGGCTAGCTAGCTTCATAAAAGTTTAACTAGTGCACTAACCTACAACCTAACGCCGCTTGAAATTAATATAGACTGCCAGAATATTCTTCACTCTCTAGCAAAAATTTGATTGACGGCAGGAAACTGCTACTCAAATTTGGGAACCCTCTGGTGTGCAACATAGATTTAGGAAAGAATATCAAGTGACAGATATCTTGGCTAAGTAAGGGTCAGATTGAAGAAAGCTTCCATTGTGCTTTGGACCTACGTTAATTGTATCTAGTAAAATAGAAGCAGACAAAGTAGGAACTCTTTATGTTAGACTAAAAATATCGCCTTCTATTGTGGAATGTATTAATGCGTATAATGTAACCTCAACTCCTGCTGCATATTAAGTTTTAATATATCATCTTGTTTACCAAAAAAAAAAGCTTCAAACTCTTTCCTAACGATTCGATTGCCATCCAACTGATTGTTTCCTTCATATTGAGAATGATGATGGACTCAGAGGCCAAGCCAATGTTAGGAGTATGGAGGTTCTAAATCAATTTTGTTTGGAGGTTCACATGTTAATATACATATATTTATTTAATTTTCTAATACAAATATATGGTCTACGAAAAAGCTAGTGAGTTCTTCCGAACCCATAAACCCCCACCTAGCTTCGCCTCTGATGATGGTCTTTTTCACAAAAATAATAATTTAAAGCAACTTAGCAAAGATTAAATAACAATTAAGTCCAAACAATACTGTAACTGTCCTGTCCCCATGTTGGTTGCCAAACTTTTTACCCTTAAATCCATAACTTGAAGTAACAATTGAATTTGTTTAAATGGTTCAAGGACACACAAATTAGAGTGAAAACAATGAGATTGTTGATGCTAAATTACTTGTTTTATATGATTAAAGTGGTGAGCCAAATCAGTCAACAATAAAACATTAGCGAGAGAAAAATAATTAATATTATTCGTGTGTTTTTATCTTAGTCGTCTGACAATATCACCGATAAAGTGAGGATTTAATGATTTTGAGGGTTATAGTTACCATGCTTGAGGGGAAATGACAATTCTGATGTGATACAAGTGTGGGGAAATGGTATACTTACAATCAAACCCCAAGTAATGTTTTTCATGGATTTCGCCCCTCATAAGTCATAACGTCCCATATAGACACGTTTCATCAACTACATTTGTGACTAAAAAAACTGCTGAATTGGATCCCATATTCTTTGAAAGAGATTGCAACCAATACTTATCTTGACAATCCACCCCTATATTCCAGTCTTGCATCTCTGGAGCCAAGTGAGCCAATAGTATAGATCCAAACTTAGTACATACGAGAGTCATCCATCTTACCAAACGATCTCAAATGATAAGACAAGTATTATTCTCATTGAATCATGTCTGATAAGTCTTCAATCCCCACGTGTCACATTTTGATGCGTCCAGATCGATCCCGGCCTAAATTAGAATGATTAACTAGTTGTAGAGGTAAAACATAGAACATTAATTTCTTTAGAGGGCATATTTGAACTTTTAACAATTTCGTGGGGTGGAAAGTGATATTTAGCCCTCTCGTCAAAACCAAAGGCCATTCCGTTTTCCTACTTCCAATCTGAATCCAGATCGATCCTGGTCTAAATTAGAATGATTAACCAGTTAGAGGTAAAACATAGAACATTAATTTCTTTAGGGGGCATGTTAGAACTTTTAACAATTTCGTGGGGTGTAAAGTGATATTTATCCCTCTGGTCAAAACCAAAACTCCATTCCGTTTTCCTACTTCCAATCTAAATCCATATCGACCCCGGCCTAAATTAGAATGATTAACCAGTTGTAGAGGTAAAACATAGAACATTAATTTCTTTAAGGGGCATATTAGAACTTTTAACAATTTCGTGGGGGTGGAAAGTGATATTTATCCCTCTCGTCAAAACCAAAGCTCCATTCCGTTTTCCTACTTCCAATCTGAATCCATATCGACCCCGACCTAACTTAGAATGATTAACCAGTTGTAGAGGTAAAACATTGAACATTAATTTTTTTAGGGGGCATATTAGAACTTTTAACAATTTCGTGGGGTGTAAAGTGATATTTAGCCCTCTCGTCAAAATCAAATCCCCATTCCGTTTTCCTACTTCCAATCTGAATCCAGATCAACCCTGACCTAAATTAGAATGATTAACTAGTTGTAGAGGTAAAACATAGAACATTAATTTCTTTAGGGGACATATTAAAACTTTTAACAATTTCGTGGGGTGGAAAGTGATATTTAGCCCTCTCGTCAAAACCAAAGCCCCATTCCGTTACCTACTTCCAATCTGAATCTCCAGAAGAATACTCAGATCTCAATTTTTCTCTTCAATTCAGGTAAATCAAAAACTAAATCTTTATTATTTCTTCAAAACTGTAACTATTCAATATATTAAATTCAAGAATTTGTATGTTTTCTGCAGCTTTCTGTGGTGATTTATTGACCAAAGATTTGATTTCGTTTGATCTGTTGTGTTTTCTGAATATGTGTTTGAGTTTATTTTTCAATTTCTTGATTTGGGTATATGTAAAGATTTGATCTTTTTGGATTTTGTTAGGTTTAAAATAAAAATGGGTGAACCAAAGAAGCAGCAACCAGTTTTCACTAAGGTTGATCAGCTTAGACCAATGGCTACTGGGCTAAATCTTACTGTGAAGGTGGTTAATACAAAGATGGTAGTGCCAAGGGGAAATCAAGGCCGCCAGATGCGATTGGCTGAATGCTTGGTTGGTGATGAGACAGGGATGATCATTTTCACTGCTAGAAATGATCAAGGTATTGTATTTGGTTTCAATCTAGCATTCAGTATCTATCGATAAAAAGAGAGAATCCCGTTTTGTAGTAGTAACATTTTCAAGGGGCACATTGTGGTGGAGATTTGGTGGATCCATTCTAATTTGCTATGATATTCGTTTGAGATTAATCATGATTATAAGGGTATAGGAGAATCCTAGTAGCTTAGTTGGTTGACTAGCTGAATTTTTAGATTAATCGTGATTATAAGGTTATAGCCTATGTTGCTTGAACTCTTCAAAAAATATGTGTCGGATACTCCAGAAGTAGTGCTCTTTTGAAGGATCCGACATGGTCGTGGCAACATTTTTAGAGAGTCCGAGCAACACAGGGGTATGAGAATCTTAGTAACTCAATTGGTTGACTGCCTGAATTTTTTCCTTGTTAGTGGGGGTTTGATTCCCCATCTTGTGATTCCCTCCCCCTTTTCCCTTCAACTACTCCCAATTTTTTTAAAAAAGGATTATAAGGGTATAATGGTAGTAAAGACTGTATTTTTAATGTTAATTAACTGAGCAAGGGAGTTGATGTAGTGGTGATTTCGTGGAGTCATTCTAATTTGCTGTGATTTTTGTTTGAGATTAGTCTGGATTATAAGGGTATAATGGTAGTAAGGACTGTATCTTTAATGTTAATTGTCTGAACAAGGAGCTGATGGTTTTAGACTCTTAGTATGTGTTTTGGTGGTCTGATCATACATTATTACTGTGAGCTTGTTGTGTTAATGCTGTTGAAGGGGATAAAAAAATAAGAACAATGAAGTTCTCCCCATTTACTCAAATAGGTTGTGCAGTGTGATCTAATGCTCAATGCTAAGCCTAAAAAATAATTGGTGTCGTACTAATTAAAATGCCTTTGTATTTTTATGTGAGGCCATGACATTGTATTCTCTCACTCTCAGGTTTTTATTGGGTCTGAGGTCTAAGATAGTAGCACTTGGTGAAACCAGAAAATGTATCAGGGCGATAATTCTAATTGTTCTTCTATAAACCTTTTTGCGGTTGTTCTAAAGCCAGAGCATCTCTAAAATCTAGTATTCATTATGTGGACATGTGGTGCATCCTTGAGCCTTCGTATCCTATTTAGGGTCCAAGATGATAGGATATAGTATTGGTAGATTACATCAAATTTCAATTCCAAGTTATGTATATTTCGTTAGGCATTTTCCTAGAGACAACCTTAGTTTAGAGATGAAGTGCTGATCAGAAAAAGGTATTGGACCTTGTAAGCCTTTATACAATCACCATTTATGTTGTGGCTCATTATGGCTAAATTAGTAATCCCTTGTACAATTATTCATAACCCTTTGTTCAGTTACCATTCATGTCATGTCTCATTATGGAAAAAATTAGAAATCCTTAATACGGTTACCTACAACCATTAGGCTGTTATCCAAACCTATGTTGCTCGGACTCTTCAAAAATGTCGACGGGTGCGTGTCGGATCCTCCAAAGATAGTGTATTTTTGAAGGATCCGACACAGGTGTGGCAACATTTTTGGAGAGTTTGAGCAACTTAGATCCAAACTAGTTGGTATGATCTATATGGTCATTTGATCTCATTGCTATTTTTGTTCAATTTAAGGAATTACGTTTGATTCTTTTTTGACTGATTTTAACTTCCAAACTTGTTATGATGCTTTAAGTAATTGAAACATACCTGAAACTTCACTTATTTGTTCAACCTCACTTTGTACATTTCTTTTGATCTAGAAATAATTTATCATAAGGAAGGGGCAAAACACTTTTGTATACAAGCATACCAAAAAGTAGGAAACCTTACAAAAAGCTCATTTTGCAGTATTGCTGTTGAGAGTTTTACTTGAGTGGGGTGTGAATGAATAGAGGCAGTCAGTTGGCATTCAACATGTTATTCTTCTGAATAGCTCTATCTTGGAGTCATTGGAACCAAATAACTTCCTGATTTCCGAGCAAACCACTATTCTGAAAACCTAAATTACTTCTCTAACTTTCTTGAGGAAACTTTTTGTAGATTTTCAGTTTCCGAAATCAGTGGAAAAAGTAAAAAGTGGAAACCCATAAACTCTTCTCTGTCCGTGACTTACATACGTAATGAAACCAGTGTTGTCAAAGACACACTTAAGTCCTGAAATGAGGCTCAAAAGGTGCTGAGCACTTTGTCACGCTTAATGTGCGCTTCAATGTCGTCATCAAAGTTCTAGGTCATACTTTTCCTTGCCAATGAGCCTCTTCTGAAGAGACAACACTAGATAATTGATATTTCACTTTATTGTATTTTTTTTTTTTCAATTTCTTTGTTCATTATTTATCATTCATGCTTATAATTATTAGTCTTGGACGAAACATATATATTTGTATTTTTCTCCCTTTGTGCCTTTTTTCATTAAAGGCCACACTTTATTTGTGCTTAAAGCCCGAACGGATCTTAAGATTTTTTTTGCGCTTTTTTGCTTTAGACAACACTGAATGAAAGGCACATCATCAAGTAGGCATACATAATTTTTGCAGGTGATTCATACACAAATTAAGAATGAACTGTGATTGTGTGGAAGATATCACTTATTGGTATTATATGGTACACATCTTTACTGGGATGTAGAATTGTATGAATTGTAACTGCGTGCAAATGTCATTCACCTAAATTTCTTCTGTACAGTTAGCTGTGCAATTCAAGCCTAGCTTGTCTTCATCCTGTTTCTTTCAGAGTTCAGTAAACCCGAGCCCTGTCTTCTCACAAGAAACTGACTTCCTATATTTTCTGCTTCATGCAAGCACCATATTAACTATTTCAAGGAAGGAGAGTTGTGAAATCGGATATTTAGCCAGAGAGATCTGTCTTTACACTGGTTTCATATTCAGCTTTCCTGATGTGCTTGGTCAAATCTGCAATCTCTTTTCTTTTTGTGAACTGTATCCTTTTTGTGATGGCTGTGATTAGGATTCATAAACTTCTTCATTTTAGTGATTAGGATTCATGTACTCCAGTTTTGCAAATCGGTATTTTGAATTATTTTGGTGATTAATTATGAAAATTTTTCTGTCAAACAACATGTACCAATGAGGCTTTCATGCATCTTGAATCTTTCCGGTTTTCCTTCTTGAACATGGCTTCTGTCAGATATCAGGCTGTTCTCTTTATCTTATCCTCTGTTAACTCCAGTATTTTCTCTTTCAGTCGACATGATGAAAGAAGGTGCTACTGTAATTCTGCGCAATGCAAAAATAGATATGTTCAAGGGATCAATGAGGCTTGCAGTGGACAGGTGGGGACGTATTGAAGTTACCGAACCTGCTAGTTTCTCTGTCAAGGAAGACAGTAATCTGTCCCTTATCGAGTTTGAACAAGTGACTGTTGTTGAACAGTAACTCAAGGCAGCCCATCGCAATGATAATGTCCCGTTTGCAGAGAGTATAAGTAAGTTTGGTTCTTTAGGGATATGCTAATGTGGCTTCATTAGTTGAGTAAAAACTACTTGTTTTGTTAAGTCAGAAAGTCCTTTTTTTTTGTAGTGGAAAGTGACTGGTCTAATGTTTTTGTAGATAGCAAGGTATGTAGCTGCAATAAAAAGTAGTGTACAACTTGCTTGTTTATTTATTTGGAAGGATTGTGTAGCCACCATAGAACTTACTTTATCTGGTGCTTATCATAACTTTTTTTTTTTTAATAATCGAGAAATTTTCGAGGGCCAGACGTTCTAGTACTAATATTTAACTCATCTTACGATTCATAAGAGTAAATATTCCAGTTTAGAGCAATAGTATGATGTGGCGTAAAGCTTGCTACTCTTTTTTTCCAATATAAAGAAGTAAATCGGAATGGGAGCAGGTTTGAAAAAGGATCTTGGAGTATTTAGTTGGGCCAGGAGGGTCTCTTAACGCCTTCTTTTTTCTTTTCATCGGAGTTATTTCATAGAGAGTTGTATACTGCTTTGGGAAGGATGAATCGCTCCCGAAAAGAAATATATTGATTCTCTCCCAATTGGTTGGACAATAGATACGATGATTTGCTTCATGGGTGAGGTCTCTGGTTCTAAGTCCGGAATGGCCCTGGCTGTTCCAGGAAGAATCTGACTACTTCATGTAGGGTGTTCATGGTTTGGATAAAAATCGATCTAAACTGAAAAACCTAACCAAACCGATTGAATTTGGGTTTTGGTTTGGTTTGGTTTTAGATTGTTAAGAACCGATAGTCATTGGTTTGGTTATGGTTTTGTTAAAAAAAATCGAAGAAATAATCGAATCGAACCAACAAGTTATATACATAAATTTTATTATTATACATACATAATATATTATATTCATAAACAATTTTAAAGATTTTATATATATTTCATCAAAATTTATTTATAATTTACTTGTGAAAGAAAAAATGTCCAAGGTGAGAACATTTTTCTTATTGGTTTCATGTATATAAGTGTCTATGGAAATTCATTGTGGGACTGAAAATGTCATTGTCTCTTCCTTCTATGCCAAAATAGTGAATTTTGAAGTTTTATTCAGTAAATTCAATGATCCAAAGTTCTGTAATGCCAGTCATTTTAACTATTTTTTCGTTTGAATGGATTGTTGTCACTTTTTTCACGTTTTGAATGAATTGTTTCTTTTATTTTTATGTATGGTTAATAACCGAATAACCGAACCAAACCAAACCAAAACCGAAAACAACCAAACCGATAAATGTATATTATATTTGGTTTGGTTTGGTTTTGATAATTTTAAAACCAATTAAGTTGATTTGGTTTTGATCAATAACCGACCCAAACCAACCCGTGAACACCCCTAACTTCATGCATACTCCACTTTGACGTTTTCATGCATATTCCACTTTGACGTTTGTTAGTCTAAAAACAAGAAAAGCATTACAAAATGCATATAGCCTCAAAGTCCAACTTATAAAAGGAAGACTTTCGATGCCATTTCTAGTTACCGTGGAGAAAACGTTGATAAAGAATATATATTAAATTATAAACAATGGTGTAGTTATATTAATTTAATGATGATCACTCGAAAAAAAGAAATAATTTTTTAGAGATATATAGTAAAATTTTAAACACTTTCAATAAAACTTCAGATTTCGTCATTGATTATAAAACATCTTTTAGAAAAAGAGAAAAAAAGCCAAGATTCTCAACTCTAGCTATATTATTTCTAGCTCATTTAATATCTACTAGACATCTAATCCATGATAAACATAACTCTTCTATTTCAATATTCCATATAACGCGTTTAAAATCAAACATTACAATGATTTTGATATATTATAAATGACAAACTAAGACAATTGATTAAAACAAGAAAAATATATAAAGTAATCTCCATTAAGACAACATGTAAAAAAGGAAAAAAAGAAGAAAATACAGAAACCAATTAATAACATGGAGTAGGTATAGTGTGATTATATATGCAAATGAAGACTTTAACCCAATCCTCGTGATGTATTTAATTTTTTTCCTAACAACTATGAAATTATGTACGTGTCATGTTTATGTCCAAACAATTTATATTACTAGTAAATTTATTACTGTATGAAATTTCAACTTGTTTGAACATTTCTCCTATTCTTCTCTTATTAATATACAAATTTTAACTCATCATTCCTCATTTTTCTTTCTTCGAGTAATTGAGAATCAATTACGATATATTCCATTCAATAAATTAAACTAGTTGATAATATATCGACTATACGAATCATCTATATTCATTTTGTTCTATTCAGATCCATTTGTATTGTACGTTGAGATGGGCGTTAAATGGGATGAAGAAAAATTGGAGGAAATTGAAGCGAATAAACCGGTGAGAATGAAGATCACCGAGCCAAAGACACCATATCATCATCCTAAAATTGATGATGATGATAATTTTGAGGAATATGGCAATCGTAGCGATGATGTGGATGATGACATGGCATCATGTTCAAGTAAAAATATATCTGACGATCCTCGTAAAAATGGTGATGATGATGATGATGATAATGACGTTGTTGTTATGAATCATGCTGATGTTGATGCTGATGAAGATTCTGACGAATCGGAGAGGAAAAGGAATTTCATAGAGCATAGAAGAGGTCATTATGATGAATATAAGAGAATCAAAGAGCTACAAAGAAATGGATCTCTTCTTCAAGAATTTGATGATGATGATGATGATAATAATAATAATATTATTGATGATGGTGTTAAGGGCATAGAAATTGGGGAAGAAAAGGAAGATACTTCAAAATAGTCATCTTATTTTCATGAATATCGTTTTTTTTTCTTTTCGATTTATTGTCTACCTTTTGGTAGAATATGTTTTGCCTTGTTAGTTGACCTATGTTGCATCAATATGAAGTTCTTATATACTGATCTGACTAATTCAAACTCGTGACAAGTAGATTCATTAAAGAGGCAAAACACTTTATCGCGAAAGGTGTTCTTCATTTCGATCTCAAGATATGAATGTTATGTTGTCATGACACCATTGTTGGTGAAGTTTTTTTGTTTTGTTTATATTTTTCTTACAAGTAATTGTATGACATATCTCCCTTTAGATGTCAATTGTTGTCATGACTTTTGCTAGAGAAATGAATTATTGATGTTATGAGATCACAATAGTAGAAAATGTACCAAGTTTTTTTGGCACTGTGAAAAAAGTAGTGTGAATTATATGGTAATTTTTATTGGTAGATAATACATGCAAAAAAAATTAAAATTTCTCAATTTTAGTATATTTTTGCAAGTAACTTTAGCAGTAATTATGAAAAATAAGTTCACTTTGACCTGGAATAATAATAAAAAGAAGACGAAAAAAAGGAACTTGCTGGAATTAATTGATTCAGAATTTCCTCTTTCTTCAATTGCTAAAGGAAGAGACCATATGGGCCACTTATTTTCATGGGCCACTTAAATTAGCTTACTGGACTTGGCCACTAGCATCACATCTACTCTTTCGTATGACACAAAATTGTTATGTTTGAAATTTTAGAGGGGTGATTAAAATGCACTATATTAAGTATACAATATCAATATAAATAATTTTATAGTATCAAATTATTTTTTATTTGTTATAGTAAGTAACATATCTCAAAATTTAGATCTCACATTGTTTTTTTTTTTAAAAAAAAAAACTTGCTTGAAAATATCCTTTCAATGAATTGTTGGTGTGAAAAATTATTTACACTGCCACTATATAAAATTTAAACAAGCCTACTAAAATTACATTGGTTAAAAGAAAGTGGAAATACTTGAACACATATAAATAACTCGATCACCCCACAATCGTCTTTGAAAAATATATTTATCACTTAATAAATCATGCTTGGTAAATGATGATACATACATACATATAGAGAGAGAGAGAGATAGATAGATAACTTAGTTTTCAACTATTAATATTAAATTGCTTAACTTGATGAAAACACATATAAATAAGGGAAAATTACGCGTATAAGCAAACATATACTAGTTAATTAGTTAACATAATTATATTTTGCCTTAATTACAATTCACGACCTACTTTTAGTTATAATTACGTGGCTCAGCATTTTAGTTTTGTATAATTTGCA